AAGCAGAGGCCGTAGATTATCCAGGAAATCCTGAAACAAAGCCTGGATGGTTTGGCTGCGGCACACAGACGAGCTGAAGGCGCTACCTCTGTGCTTCTGCCTTCATTTCAGAGCAAGGACGATTTTTGTGCTTTTTGTTTCTACTTAACCTCTTTTCTGGGGGAGCAACAGCAAAATACAAAGAGACAACAAAAAGACACAGCTTGTTTTGTGTGTCTGTGTATCATTAGCATTAGCACATAAAGTCCTGTTGGAGTTGTACATCAATGTATTGATGCCCTGGATGTACACAAGTTGGATAAATAAAAAGAAATTCGAAAAGAAAACACACGGTAGCATCGGAAATTCTACTATTTCAGGTCGGGGTTTCAAAACTGGCAAAATAGTGTAAAGGTGTAAGTGAGCCTTAGTCAAACTATGCTCAGTTACATGGATACAGGAATATTAGTGTAATATTGTGTTAGGACAATTATTCTTCAAGCGTGTATGTGTGTGTGATTACTCTGAGGAGGACAGGCTGATTGATGCCTTTCAGATGAGACCCACGATGACGTGAGCAGAGCTTTGTTCCTCACAGCAGATGTAGCCACATATGACAGACTCACACACACAATGGTGTAGACACAACAAAGCTATAACAATACAGACACACACAGAGTTTGTGTTGCCGTGCAGATGCGTCTCCATCAGAAATATATAACAGATTCCCCACAGATAAACACAGACAGAAGAGACGGACAGGAATCGAACAGAGCCACCTCCACGTGAAGAAAATAAGGACAGGGTGTGTGTCTGTGGGTTTTCTCTGCTTATCTGATCACTGCTCTTTTAAAAGCTTATTGGAAAGTTTCTTGTTATTTCAGTCACGCTGAGGGAGGACAGGAAGACAGCGTAAAAACAGACTGAAACCTCCATCAGATGTTTATAAAACCTTTGATTCTCACATACATCATTTAAAGCGAACTATTCCTGTCACTCGCTGGAGGAAGAAAAATCCCTCTACAACATTTTCTATATTCTAATTGACGTGGCACAAGTTTATTTTAGAGTTGCAGGCACCTTTTCATCGCCTGGTGTAACAATGCGAGCTGCCCAAAGTGTAGATGTGATATATGATCAGTGGCTTTTTTCAAACCACTTCTCTTGCAATGAGAGAGTGAAGACGAAGGTGGAGGTGCAGCTGAAATTGAGCATAACTATAGGTTGTTGTTTTTTAACGCTTCTATTTTTGCTCGTTTTCTATGACAAGGTAAAACACGTCTGCTGTCTGCGGTTATAAATCCTCAGCCCGTGGAAGAGACATGAGACATTTTTACGAGGGGCACGGATTTCCTGCATGCGAGCGCAGAGAGAACAATTACGTTGATGACATGATAGCATGAGGCCATGATAGATGAGGGCCACTAACTGGAAGCCCCATAAAAGTGGAAACATACATGTTTGTGGAGAAACTATTTCTGTTTTGCAAACACACACAAGCACAGAGTCCAGGTCTGGGTGGTGCCCCAGTCACGCAAGGCCATAATCAAAAGCTGCTGCCTCCTCTGGCCCCGTTTATCCTCTCGCTGGCTCTAATAGAGGGTGAGATGTCACAGCAGAGCGCTCAAACACACAGTTATCATACAAACACATGCAAGTGTGGCAACATAGGACAGTGTGCCTGTGCCGGACCCCTGTACGATGGCTGTGAGATGGTGTGTGAGTCTACATTACTATTAACACTGATGGAGTCTGACATCATTGAAAAGTAGAACTGTAGAAGAAGAAGTCAAACTGTCTTTAAAAATAAAGTCTTTAAACGTCAAAGGCCTTTTGGTTGATATATAATAAACAAACTGCTCTCGGATACATATTGCTTATTTATTGACGACCGCTGGCACTGTCTGTTCCGCAGCTGTTGGAACATGGTTTCACATTGTGAAGAGGTTTTCTTGTTCAGTTGTTTCGCCCTGAGATAAAATTCACAGCCAACAAAGAACGTTCACCTGTTTTGAGACGGAGAGCAGCGGGTCTGTGGTTTGTTAACAAGCTCTGTGCTGGTGAAATCTTACTCCACTCCTGCAACAAGTAGTTTGTGTTAAGTCTCCTCTGTATTAAGTGATAGAAGGTTTTGTTTTGATTCACTACCAGGGTATCTTGAAACAGTTTTCCTCATTATTTGGTGCCCCAGTGATTATTAGCTGCAGCAGGAAAGTGTACGTGAGTCTGACTCACAGTGTTTATGTTCATGGTCAAAGAAAAAGTTTCCATGTGCCTCACTAATGTGTTTTCAATAGCTTGTGGACGCAGTGACGCTCTATGGCACAGAGGAATAAGGCACACATGGTGAAGGGGGGGGGGGTTACAGGGATATGCCCCATAAAGATGTGAGGAGTAGTCTCACGTAGACAACAAACAGCCAAAGACGCATGTCGACTTTGCAAATGCACGATGATCTTTGTCAACGTCGGACACTTTCAGCAGCGTGTAGTTTGCAGCTCGGAGGTTGTTGCTGACGGTCGACTCAGCCCCACAGTCTGCATCATCTGAGCCACACTAACTGAAGAAGCAGGTTCAGTGTTTGATATTTGAATAAGAAAAAACACATATTTGCCGGTGTGAGCAGGTGTACAGTGAAAGTGTAACTGACCTAAAGTGGCCCCATTACGTGCATGTGCACACACACACACCTGCTGCACGCATCTCTCCACAAATAAGCACCAGCTGCATCACAAACCCTCAGCTTATCTTCGGGCGATATCAAATTCCCAGACCGCCACTCTGCATCCTCTCCTCGGCACAAACTGTCCACAGTTCATGAAAAAGCCACTGGCTTTAAATTCACTACTTCTTCTCGTTACTGCAGCAAAAGAGGCCCTGAGGTCTTTTAGAAGGAGTCTGACACAAGGAAAAATGTTTCGTTGTGAGTATAGATTCATACTGCATTGATTTCTATGAATGTCTTTTGCAAGCATAACTACTTCAGGAGGGAATCAATTGACCTTTTAAGTGTTACTTCAGTTGTCAAGGGAGCAAATCAATGCCACAATCTGGTTTCTTCGCAAATCTGGATGAATCAAATGCAATTAGAGCAGCGAGTCTCTGGAAGAGGAGCTAATTAAACTATTTTTATTACGTTACAGTGACTGATGTCTTTCAACAAAGTTTCAGGACGTCATATCAACCCCCCCCCTAGTCGGAGGAGGGGGAGGCCGGCAGGGGTCAGGACGGAGACGTGGAGGATTTCGGGGGAGAATTCCGACCACGAGGACTGAAAGCGAGTGAAGTCAGATGTCCTCCTGTGACCTGATCCGATTTTCCATTACTGTCTCCTTTAATCACGGTGAACGACGGGGGAATAATGAAAGGGTGGTGGAGGGGCGATGAGGAGATGAAGGGATTTGGGGAGACAGGTACGGAGTCATAGCATGACGTGGCTGAGTGTGAAATGCAACGAACCCCGGAATGAGCCTCGGGGTGTTTTCCCTTTTCTAAACTTATTTCACAGCAGATCCTGTTATGTGGATTCAGCTGGGAAAACACACAAATACACACGAGGCCTCGTGTTCTGTGTGTTTTTCTGACCGACACGTTCAAACAGTGGTAATTACGATACAGTTACTGTGTGTGCGATGTGTAATAAATCCAATGCACCGATCAAACTAATATCAGAGAATTAGAATTAGTGTGGCTTTAATTAAATTGAGTTACTCAAACTTTAGATAGGTTGAATGCAACGATCTAACTCGGGGCAGTAGTTAATTTATTTGTAGATATCTGAATTAGTTACTCAAAGAACGGTTTTACACATATTTGACGGGAACGGAAAAATAAGCACCAAGTTCATGTCGGTGTGATTACACTTAGTATCCTGCCCACTACTCTCCTTTGTTCAAAATTCCTGTTTTGCAATTATTTGTTTGACGTCCCAGCTGCATTTAAGATTCAATTTTACGCTTCACCTTTTAATTTTGGATTTTGCATCGTGACATAAATGCTAAACCTCCTTCTGGATTTATTACAGACACATCTTGCACAAATTAGGTTCCTGTTGCCGGATAAGTGGGACTTTGAAAGTGAAGATCAGTCAGCATTCATTCAGGATTTAGCAGCTTTAGCAGTTTCATGCAAAAATTAATACTAAAAATTCTTATATGTCTACAGCTGAATTTTTGATAAGACAGCATCAGCAGTGTTGCATCTTAACAGAATTCACCAAAGAATAAATGGAGAATGATCCCATCAACGTTTGTTGTTTTCAATTAAATCTGCAGAAATATAACAGACATTTAAACAGGAAGTTGATGCTATAATGTAACACGGAGAAATACATATGTGTCTATGATTCACTTCACATTTAATAAAAAGTGTGATTAGCTGATTAAATTAATTTGTACTTGAAAAACACGCTGAACTATATGTGCACCCTCTCAGTATCTGTTAAAACAACCTGACAGCTCCTCCTCCAGCATCGTCTAATTCTTCAACCTGTCGATATATTTTCTTCCAACCAGCTCATATTCTTTCTTGTTATTCCTGTCCGGGGTTGGTGTTCTGTGAAATAGCAGCTACAAACAAGCACAAACACTCCACATGCTGCCAACTTAAGTGGAGAACTCACTAAAAACACTGCTCCACCATGATGTGCAGCTCTTCTCAGCCCGGCTGCCTCTCACCACAGCCACAGCTGGTTTCTCTGCTTCGTTTGCATGCAAGAAATAAACCTGGTCCGTTTAATTTCAAGCTAAATTGTCAGGTGCTTTGTTTCAGGTCCTGGATATGGGTCTTCAGGGAACATATAACTTATTTCCAAACATAAATCAGGTGAAATTAGACCGTTGCAGTAATTTAGGGATGGATCTGAGAGTTCAGTCAGACTTGGAGAGACTATGCTCTGCACGAATGCATCCTGTTTCCAGCTCTGTTGTGATTGTGAGCCTCTCTATATTAACTACGCCTCACTACCTTAGCTTGTACCTGTGTTCCTAGAAAGCAGATGGAGTGGGTTGGGGTGAGGGTACCTTGTATTGTGAGTTGGGCCTGGGCTTCGATGGTGGCGTTAGAATTGTCCGCCATGCAGGTGTAGACGCCGGCATCCTCCTCTGTGAGATTGAAGATCTGGAGACTGCCTCCTCCCAAGACCTCTACCCGACCCTCGCTGGAATGAGAAAGACACACAGAGGAGGGAGAGAAAGAAAGAAAATTAGGCAAATCTTTTCTTCTTGTAAATAATAAACAGCATCTTTATTTTCTACTTGTAACAGTGTGCAGATGACATTCAGGAGCCCTCGGGCTGATGACGCTGTAGCAGCATCTGGACGGAGTTTCAGCCTCGATGTCTTATTTTATCCAGACTTGTAAATTATTTAAAAAGTAATTTCAGTCCATTTCTATGAAGCACATTCCTCCTCCTGCTCCGTCAGGGTCGCAGCCTCTAGAGCTCCATGTTCCCCTACTGACCCGAGGTTGACTCCACGTCTCCTACTTGCCTCTTTTGCTCCGTCACATCTTACCAACCCTCCAAATGAATAAAATATACTAAAAGCAAAATCAACTGCCCTGAAAAGACTGCAAGTTGCAATTCATCTCAGCAACCAGGATTTATATAGAAAGTCTGGCTTTGGACATCTGGTTATATAACTGGAGTCAGACGGGAATATAACAAATGGATCTTGTTTTCAAAGGACTAAGTGAACTGACCAAAGTGTTTATATCACGTATCAGTTCCATGTTGATCTTGGTTTGGGGTTTTATTACAGCAAGATAATATCTGAATCATTGAGAAAGAACTACAACTATGAATGCCATCCACACATTTCTCTAAACAACCCACACAACGTTAACATAATAAAGACCAACATAAACATATCTTAGACCTCGTTTTAACTTTTATCTATTATTTTACACATTTCTGTCTTTTCTATTTTCTCCTTCAAATTATTTTTAGAGAATTATTGTTTCTTTTACCTCTTTTAATTTCTTTACCTCTTTAATTCTACTCTTTTTAAAGTTTATTTTGCTCCCCCTCTGTCTATGAAACATGCTTTATAAATAAACTGCCTTTCCTTGCTTAGTTCATGAACTGTCAACATATAAAAGACACAGTTTTAGGCCTAAAATACAGATTATTGAATTGTTTATGTTAAATAAGGACAGATGTCAATGATGTTTTATTCAGGATGCATCGGTTTAGATTATACATTAGTGTGCAGCTCGTATTGGAGCTACAGCTGTGGGGGTATGTTGTGTGTACAGTGTCATTACTACAGATGTTACATTGTCTTAATGAATGTTTTCATTGTCTTTCATCAGCTCTTAATTAACTGCAGCGACGTACAAGAACAGAATAACAATACAGCCGTGTCACATCAAGTGATTCTGTTCTTCAAGAAGTTCAGAACCTCTCTATCTATACATCCTGTATCGAAATCAACAGCCAAACAACCAGAGTTTTTACTTTTGCTGCTCCGAGTACCGTTCCCTCTGCTGCTGGGCTCCAAATTCCAATTAAATATTTTGTAGGTAATGTTTTCGAACACAAATCTCTTTGTGTATTAGCATATGGATTTACATACTGCAGCACAGAGTGGCAGGAGATAGGCCTCGCTGACTGAAAACTGAATAACAAGTGTAACAGAGTCATTTCAGACTCTGCAATCATAAATATTTATAACGCTAAACTATTTACACCTAATCCAAATCACAACATATAGTATGTAGTTGTTTAGCCTCTCTCTGAACCAGCAACCCTCCCCCATCTTAAACAGTCCCAACTTTGATTTTCCCAATAGGCCCATGGGGGGGCAGGGGGGGCGAAGCAGTCTGTGGCCGAGCTTGGGTTTGATTCAACAGCCAGCGGAGAATGGCAGTGGGAGGAGGGCGAGAGGGGAGACAAAAAACATAAATCAATAGCTTAAAGAGAGAGCCATGCATTAACAAAGAGAGAGAGATGCAGAGATGCAGAGAGAAAAGTAGGAGAGCAGCGGGTCAGCAGGAGGAGATGAGAATCCAAAGAGATTCACAGCAAGCAAGATGCAACCGAGGAGAGCGAGATCAGTGCATAATGGTTTCTGCACAGAGGAGCCAGGATACATGCTGAGGTAAAGAGTGCACCGAGAAGCACAACCCGGAGCTACAGGTTGATTTCAGCCTTTAAACAAACTGCTGACGAGCTGGAGCTTCCATACTGTCTACTAACTCTGGGGTTTGGCATCACAAGAGTTCGATACCGAGATCCCAGCTTCCCGCTTTCATTGGAAAGAGGGATGCACAGCACATATTTAATCCATCGCGTGTTTTCTCCTTCGGTCCAGAGCAAGTCAATCTCCTCGCTCCGACAACTGCAGCCGCTAAAGTGCTCTGATGAACCAGGGATGTGGACTGAGGGAGGAGAATAGACTGTGTTGCTGTTGTTGTGAGGGAGTGCTCTGCACTTTAACTGAACACAAGGTGTCTGCTGGAAAGATGTGACATCTCGTGCATCCGCTGCTAATTAAAATGCCATCATCCATATTCACATATAATGTTCGGTTATTACAAAACGTGAAGATTACAGCATTAACGTGTCAGGCAGACGAGGTGCTGTGGTGCTAATTGGCCTTGGACATTTTTAGTAACGACTGTATTCAAAGATAGACGACATGACAGCTCCCCTCAGGTGAAAACAAAGCGTTGTGATAGACCCCTGGTGGCTGGATGCAGTGTGGGTCATTAACCCTGCCTTCTGCATGTTAGCAGATGGGACACAGACCAAACTAAAACGTCAAACTACATGTTCTGTCATTTTAGTCTGTTCCTCTCACAGTGACGTTAATGTCTCCAATAAGTTTTAATTAGTCATGTGATGCTCTAAAGACGGGGTGAGACATCACGATTGACAGGTGAGACAGACTGGTGATCACTACTGCGCAAGATCCTGCGTGGAGCCACGTCATCCATCTTTATTTACAGTCTATGTATGTTTTTTCCATCAAATGTAGTCTACTTGTGGAAAGAATCCACATTCTGACTTATAACACCAAATATCTAAAGAAAGAAAAGAAAGAAAAGACATCGACCTCCCTCTGCTCCTCTCTAGTGAGTAACTTGTCCAGAAAAAAGGATTTGAGGATGTCCTGTCAACACGCAGGACCTGGAACAAAATTTGTCCCTTGTTCTGTCACTCAGACCTGAAGGCAGCGGCAGCCCCTGAGATTTCAACAGAAGGGCCTGCCGAGGGGAGAGTGAAGGAGGGACGGTGCGGGACGCACACATTTGCTATGTGTGAGCGGTGACTCAGCCTTGCGTGACACAAACCGGAGGCAAGGTCAGTACACCTGTGCGAGGGGGAAACTGCGGATCACGGCGGATCTGTGGGTGTGTTTGTGTTTCGGTGGCGGCGGTGCGATACGCTGTCACAGAGCAATCAGGAGGTGCTGTGACAGTGGTCGGGCACAGGTCGTGATATCTGCAGCACAAAGGGGAGGCAGGTGGAATCACAACTGTCATAACAGAAAAAGGGAGATTTATTATTAATGAGCAGAGCAGCAATCTTAAATCTTTTCTTCCTTTGACCTCGCTTTCCTTATTTTCAAATTAAATTTCCTTTTCCAACTCCCCCCCACTTGTCACTCTCTATATAAATACACCCACCATCTCAACCCATCTCTCCCTGCGTTAACTGTGTTAACTGTTGTGCCGGTCCGGGTGTGGTGGTTTGTCGTGAAGGCGAATTTAACTTCCTCTTCCTTTTTGACGAGAAAATAATCACAACAGTTGTAGGGATTTGAATCATGTGCAGAGAAGAGTGGGATTTCATTTTACAGCCGCAGACTGCAGCCTGGAATGATTAGTCCCGCCTCCAAAAACTGTTTCGTCTTTACCTGTTCCGATATGACTCATGGAGCACGGGGGGGGGGGGCAAATGTGGGAGATAAAGTAGATCGGCTCATGAAATAAATAAGAAGAACAAACAAATAGAAATTAATGTGAGAAACAACCTGGTGCCAACAGAACAGGCTGAGGCTTCTTAAGTGACTCAGCCATGAAAACGTTTCTGTTTCCTTCTGGCTCATAATGAAAAGCTGCAAGGCCCTGGAGACAGAAACAACTCTTGCATACCTTACTTTATTTGCTTGTTTCCCCCCCTGCCCAGGTCCCTGAGAATAAACCGATCATTTTTAGCGGATATTACAAAGAAACCAGCTGCACACAACGCGTGATTTACTTTAAAATTGGTGTGGTGGGCCCTCCGGGGCACTTGGAGGCACATGACCATATTGTTGCCCCACGCAATATCATTTCTACAAAACTACACCAATGCACTGGATTATTAAACCTTTGAATTGTACATATTATTTAAACCTTAACCAGATTATCTCTGGTGAAGAGCCACAGTGAAGCGCTGCAGGTGAGAAACAATGTGCAGGTTCACGCAAACAAAAGGCCTCATATCATCAATTCTCTTTCGGGTAATGATGCGGAACAGTTTTATCTCTTAGATGTAAAATGAAATTGAGATTGAGATGAGATTATTTTTAAGTGTTTGAAAACAAACAAACCTTGCAACAACAAAGCCAATGGCCAATGAATTCCTCCCATCCTGATTCGTTACTTGGGGATAAAACTAAAATAAGTAGAATAAAAATAGATGCTTAGAGAGAAAACACGCTTTGAAGAGAGCTGGTGAGATTGTGTGTGTCTGTGTGTGATGTGCTGGATAAAAAAAAGGAACATCCATAAAAGGAAACTTCCCATGTTCCACTGGCAGAAAACTATGTCGCTCGTCCTGTTTTTTCAGCAGCACACGCCAGTTAAACCACTGAATTACCTAATGCCGCCGCTGCTGTGGCTGGTTTCTGTCATTGTACCAATGTAGAAGAAATTTGACTTCCTCAGCAGAACCCTGAGCGCGTGGGCCTCCTGGGAATCAGGAAGTGCTGCGCTGGAGATGGACTGTATGCCAACCTCTCCAACTGAGGAAACCATGTGGATTCACCATTCACATGGTTCTCGTTACCACTTTACACCGAGAGGTGTTTTTTATTGTTTTGGCACCGATATTACGTCACAAGTTCATTATTCACATTATCATACTTTACATTATCCTATATACCGCTTATCCTTTAAGGGTCGCGAGGGGACTGGAACCAATCCCAGCTGACATTGAGCACCCTGGAC